GAAGAATATTGAGAATCAGAACATATGAATTGGCATGCCCCCTTTCCACCTCCGCCTTGTTGTTGAGTTCACATGAAAATGGAAAGATGGGATTTCAAATTGCCCCTCTATGCCTCTTGGAGTCCTATTGGTAGTTTTGATCAAGTTTTAGGAAGAATGGCACGCAATATGGGAACATATATCCCTTCTCTATGAAAAGAAGGGCTCAGATGTTTTCGATCCTTCCAGGTTCAACCACAGTCAGCTGCAGCATTGTCAGCTATCCTTACACCCTTTTGTCTTCCAAAACTTTCCTGGGCAACAAATACATGCCATGCCTGTAATTTGTGTGGGTTCTCGTCACTGGCTTCTTTTGCAATGGGAACACTAACAATGATCTCCCCTCGCTCCTCACCTCTCTTCCACTGTTCATGTTTTCCTCGTCCAGTCTCCGTGAGCTACATTTGGTGTTGGATGATGTGGATTCAGTATGGAAGGCCTGTACCTTGGAACCCAAATAGAATTCAAGCAGAGAGATGGAGGGCTGACCAACATAAAGAATGTACTCCACCTTGGTTTCTTATTTGCCAATAAGGGCAACACCCCTGCCCACATATAGAAGGAGCTATATGCAATGGTTAATAAATAATGTTAAATTATTAATTAGTTTATTAATTGATAAATATTAATTAATAAATAGCATACTGTTACTTATGCCTTTTCTAGATTATTTGTTCAAGTGAAAAATTATCGTTTATTTTTAATAAGCAATACTTGACAAATCAGGAAGGTACGAAAATTTTAAAAAGACGAAGAAAAAATGCATTTAATTTTACATTATATCACCAGTGATCTCCTTTTTTATTGTTTTTGTAATACTCAAGCAATGGAAGTGTTTTGGTAAATCAAATTTAACTCATTAATCCTTCTAGAGTTTACTTTGAAGCTTACTCTAGAGTATTCTTTGAAGTGTAAATCTAGACTGATAAATGTTCTAAATAGTCAAATTTACTAGCTCTATTTATAGACTAACGCTCCTATTGTCCTTTCTTTTCATCTCTTTTACTATATATTACATTGATTTATCTATTATCTATATCTATATCTAATTGAGGTTATTTTCATTAACATGCCCACATTTTCTTGTGTAGGTATCACACTGTCTTATGAATAGTAATAACATAAATATGATCGCTCTGGTTGAGTTACCCTTTACCACTTCCATAAAATAAATTTCTTATAAAAAAATAGCTGTGTATCGTATTTTGATACATATTTTGATCCATATTTTCTGAAAAATTTTAGAATTATCATACGCTATTGTACACAGTTTAAAATAACTGGAACTGTGTTAAACCTTAGTTAATTTAGGAATAACTGAGATGTTTGTAATATTAGTCAGTCTAATTAGAAACATGCTGTAATTTCCTATGTATTCAAGTCTTCTCTTTAAACTATTCAATAAAATAGTTTATTTTTATGTAATTCTAATATATCTCTAGTTAATTTTTTTCCAAGACAGCATATTCTTTGGTCACTATTATATATTTCATTGTTTCCTAACTGTATACCATTGACTTATACAATATTATTTTTGCATAGATTGACATATATTTGAGTAAGTCACTCAAGTTATTTATAAATTATAGGAGTTAACGGTTTAATAATTTGAGTTATTGTTAAATAACTATATCATCATCAAACTATCATATATTTTCTCCAACACCATCCTCTTAATTTTGTTTTACATCTGACTGTTTTTTAACATTCCAAAATACAGTTAATAATATTATGGTAAGATTGAGTTATATGTGTTGTCCTCATTAGAGTAGACATTCTTCTAACATTCCATTGTTAAATGTGATATTGGATCTTGGTTGCAAATAACTCTAGAACTTATTTAGTAGGCAGGCTTTTTTTCCTGATTATTTCACAGAAGTTTTCCTAAGGAATTGTTAGATTTTATTCATGTTTTTAAATTAAGAGATGTTCATATTCTTATTATATAACATCGACATGCTATTTGTTAATATTTCAGAATATAGTTTTACTTTCCTGGAAATGTGAGACAATTTCTAGCCCTAAGCTGTTTTTTCCCTCCAATTCCAGACATCTTAAGGCCATCTTTCTCCTCTCCTATCCCTGTCATCTTCATAGATTTGTACCTACAAAGGTACACTGATCGTCCTTTTTATTTCACATTCACATTAGTTGACAGGACTCTAAAGTGGTACAGATAAATCCCTGTAGTTGATGGCCATAGCCACACATGCATCATATCTTGCCATTTTTACATATCAGTTTCCCATTTCTAACACTGGGTACACAAATGTCACCAAAAAAAAAAAAAAAAAGGCCACTGGCCAGATAATGATCAGAGCATAATTTGAAGAAGACAGTGCTGAGGCCTAACAGTAGCAGCTGTCCTGGGAGAAGAAACTAAGGCGGCCAGCAGAGAGCACCACCAGAAGCAGGCGGTCACATTACGTCCATTAGGAGGGCCCAAAAGATGTCCTGTCATTCTCCCGTTGTTAATTGTAAACCTGAATAAATGTTCTAAATCTCTTTTGGAAAAAATAAGGATATTTTTGTTTAGTTTTGTTTTGCTTTCCAGCAGTTGAAAAAACTGCTTAACACAGGATTTTCTGGAAAGGGGCAAGGGAAAGAAGGGAGGTCCATTTCATTTCGATCCTCATCACTCACTCCAGAATAGTTAAAGCGGTCTAATATTGTAACGCTCTACAGTAAAAGTACTGCTGGGATTAGAAAAGATAGAGCATTTGTACAAAAGGATCTGGTGAACGCCAATATTTATATTATATATAAATATATATAACACAAATATTTATATTATATATAAAAGGCGTTGAGTGAACAAGAAGGAAGTGTTATAAAAGTTGGGAGAAGGGGACTATTCTTTTTAAATACAAGAATTTGGAAAAGAGAAAAAATAATTATTCTGAGATTGGAAGGAATGGTATGGTTTAGAAATGTGGATACATAGGGTGTTATGGTAATAGGCCACTGATAATTATTGTTAAGTGAATGATGAAGACGTGAATTCTGCAACTGGGAGGTCTATTGTTGTATATGGGACATACTGTCTTAGGGGAAAAAGAGATAGGGAGCGGAGGAGTGGACTTCTATAAGGCGTATATTAACAGACTGAAGAAGACATGTCTGTGAAACGGAGTGGAGGAAGATGAAAATCAAAGACATTGCAGAGGCAGAATTGATGAACCTTGGCTAGCAAAGGCATAGGGTGGTAAAGGGAGAACTAAGAGTTAAAGATAACTCTGAGATGTCTAGCCTGGGAGATCTGGGGGGCTATTAACCAAATCAGGGGACAAGACAATATTTGAGAACAAATGATATAAAACTGAGCTTTGACAAAACAAAGCTGGGCTCCCTTCCTGGCATTTCTGTAAACCTGAGTTTGTGCAAACTGGACAACCAAGCCCTGGGCAAATGAGATTTGAAACAGTGTGATATGATTTAAGAGCTAGAGGGACTAAACATGTAACTCAGGATAATAATATTCTTTCTCCCCTATTTAGCATTTTCTCTCATCTTTAAATTATTCAAATACACATCGTTTGTTGTGATTGTGTTACACTTAATTGTTTATTGCTTGGAATTATTCTTTCATTTTCCCTAAAATACTAGTCTTGTGTCTCAACCAAATTGGAAACTTAGAAAGAACAGGGGACCAGGTATCACCTCCTTGTAACTATACAGAGAGGACCTTATAAGGTACTAAATAAATATCAGGAAGAAAGAAATCCTTATATAATATTTACTGGTGGATAGAATCTAATTGCATCCGCTCATTCCAGTAGTCTCTCATCTAAATGTTACAATGACAAGCAATAGCTTTTGTCAGGGTTTCTCAACTTTAGTATTATTGACATCTTGAGCCAAGTAATCTTTATTGTTTGAGTGGTTCTGTGCATTGTAAGATGTTTACAGTAACTCTGCTCTCACTAGATGCCAGTAATGTGATACATGTATGCACCCACACACACACTCTTCAGAGTTCGCTGAACTAGTTAGATGCAGAACAACATTGGACTGCTGTTTTTTGATTAAGCATGCACTCAGAACCATTAGAATTCACATTCATTTCAAGCAGAAAATATAATTGGCTATTACTTAGAAAATAAGAATATTCTTCTCTTTAGAGCATATGTTTCAAAATATTTCAGATCCATGGAAATTATATGAATATTTTTCATACATCATATCCATCCTTAGCAAACCCATTTTTTGTTCTGTCTGCTATCTTTCTATTTCCTATGTCCTTAGAAGGACATGGGCAAAGCACTGGTCTGAGGCAAATACCTATCTTTTCTCTGCTTGGCACCAGTTCTAATGGTGATTTAGCTATATAACAAGCACAATCATTTGGCTTAAAGCACAATGTAAGCAAATAATACATTTTGCTAAAAGAACAACTAAATAACAAAGAGCTTAACAAAGCTGACTCATTTCTTGAGGGTTCTATATTCAATCTAATTTGCATAGTTGGTATTTGGCAGCTACACTCTCTTCTTTCCCAAATTCAATAATGTTGCCAAACTGGCAGCTTTGCAATAGCTAAGGGAAAGATTATATGCCTATATTCTGGTTTTCCCTTTCTCTGTGTAACAAATTCAAATGTTAAACCAATAATCTTCTACTACGTGAGAAAATATAAATATCAACTTGAATAATTGGTTAATAGATGAGTTATCAGTTAGATCAGCTAGATTCCTATGCTGGGGTATAATTTCTTTGAGATGACATAACAAAGACTGAGAGAAAGAGCTATAAACTAAATCAATTCAGAAATGAGCCATGAGTTGAGGGAGACCACAGTTCATCCACACTGGGTCTCTCTGGTGGGGATCATCCCCAGTGTCCAACCTTACCTTCTCCCACTATGGGGTCTTCTTTATCAGTCTCTACCTGTGATCCTTGGTGTTTGGATGAGACGTGGCTATGGTTCTTTTGATCATTAGTCTGGGATTCAGAAATATCTTCATTTTTTATTTCTAAATTAATAAGAAAAGAATTTAGTGTTTCTTGGTTTTTTTTTTTAGAATAAAATAACATTTATTATTTTAAATGAGCCCTAAGTATTGACATTTCTTATATGCCCCCACAAAATGATTGTGAGATACATGCAATAGAAAGTATGTAACACACCTAGAGCTTAAGGAATAATTAAATAAAATCTCATCTACTGACCATCAACTTTTAGGTATAAAACTGCACTGTCTAATATGGTAGCTACATTACGTGGCTATGGAACACATGAAATATGACTAGTTTGAATTTAGATGTGCTATAAATGTAGAATATACTCTTACTTTTGAAAACATATAAGATAACTAATACTTTTATATTTATTACATTTTGAAATAAGTTTTGATATATTAGGTTAAGTGGCTCCCAGAAAAATGAGATTATATGCCTCATTTTTGTGGTTCATGTCATATTTTTATTGAACAGAGCTGGTATAGAATGTTACTAATGCTTTTTTTAACCTTTTATTTTGAAGTAATTATAGATTCATAGGAAGTTGCAAAGAAATGTATAAAGAGAACCCATGCAACTCCCAGCTTTTTCCACTGTTAACAAGTTGCAGAATCGTAGTATATTGAAATTAGGAAACTGATATTGGTATAATCCACAGAGTTTATGTAGATGCGTGCTTTTGATTGAAGACTTTCTATCTTCAGTCTACTGCTGACTGAAGAGATGCTTTATCTTCTATTTGTTTGTTTATTAAATATAGTAATCAAAATATATATTTATGTTGCTCATGCTAGGCACTGTTCTCGGTAAACAATGGGAAAACATGATGAGTAAGAAAGACCTGGTCTCAGCCCTCACAAGACTTTTATTCTAGTTTGGATGGCAGGAGATAAACAAATAAATTTGTAATATAGTGTCAGATGATGCCATGTCGTGGCACATGATGATTGCTCAAGGAGAAGCCCTGTGGTGATTGAGCTTTGTGCTGAACTAGCTGATTTTTTCAGGGAACATCATTTTTGCATTGAAAGAACTTGAGAGGAATGATTGAAAGACAAATTATGGTTATTTGTACTTAGATATTTGGCAGATATATATTTTAAGTGAATGAAATGAGCCTATAACTTCAAAGAAACAACTTGCAGTACTTGTTGGGAGGAATAAAATTCAAGCCCTCATGAGAAATTTAGAAATTTGGAAAATTTGTATCAACTACAATTTTCACAGATTTCTAACTCTTAAAAGTCTATGTGGAAATTAACAAATGTGATTTTAAAATTGTAGAATAAAATATGTCAGCATTTGAAACATCTTCATGACTCGGTGAAACAACCTTTTCCAAAAAACCAAGCCTAATATTTCAAAATCGTGCACAGTTAAAAGCTCCACTCAATGTACTTTTAAGTAACCACCTTTTGGCCAGTATGGGTACAGTATCAAAGAAGAATATCTACAATTATCTGTAAATGCTATTAACTCATTTTCCCTTTGCCCCGAGAATACTCTCTGGTGGCAGGCACTTGCAGCTTCAATGTTTACCCTGAGATAATTCACAGATTACAGTCCTAAACTTACCCCCAAAGTTTGCCACGAAATAGCTCACTTTTATTATTATTTTTGCATCACTCTACTATATTGATAGTCTTTAGAAATGAATGATGCAAACAAATAACGGCGAGGTGATCCGGAGAGAAACACAATATTTTTGTGCGGAATGTGACCTTCTGCTTTGTGTTGTTCCGTGCTTTGAAACTTACCACACACACACAAAAATTATTAAATTATTAAATATGTGATCATCATATACATTTCTGTTACATTAGGATTAGAGACAAGTTATGTTTAGAAATAACTCCAAGAACAGTTTTTATATTTTATTCTCACATTGATAATCAGTCAGATTTGCTTCAGCTTCAAAGAGCGTGTTTATGTAAAATTAATGCTGACAGCAAGCTGCACTTTTTCTTTTCTAAGTGGGAAATGGGTTAAAATACTCTTCCCCTTTCTACTACGTATCTGCATGAAGCTGGATTTTCTTCATATACTTCAGCCAAAACAACACATCGCGACAAATAGAATGCAGAAGCTGCTTAAAGAATCCTGCTGACTTTTCTTAAGGCAGACTTTAAAGAGGTTTATAAAAATGGCATTATTTTCACTATACATTCTTTGGAAACAGGTTTTTTAAATAAAATATATGTTAATTATGTTAACATATTACGCATGTATTATTTTTAGTTAAAAAAAATTTAAAATTTTCTCTTTTAACTTCTAATTTGGAATTACTGATAGAATACACATTGATGAAATTCTTTGAGGTTTCCAATAGTTATTGAAAGTTAATGAGGTCTCAGGATCAAAATTTTATAACCTGCTGACAGACCATACAGTTGAATCAGAGAATCTTGTTCTCCAAGGAAATACAAATTACTTATACAAAGCTGATTACTATATACTATTTTTTTTCATCAAGTTCCTCATGATCTCTTTACATTTTTAAAAAAGGAAAGATAGAAGTCTTTGTCCATATATGCTAGTAACTGAAGAAAGAAGCTTCCCCTAGAGCTCGGGGACCAAAAGAGAAGAGATAGGGTCAGCAGAGCTTAGCGAGAGGTCCTTCCATGGTTGGTAGGTTTACCTGTAACATGGAGGATGAGAATTAAGTCACCTACTTCTTGGAATCATGAGATTAAAACTGATAAAAGGTCTTTGCTTTAAAACCAGAAAGCCCTACATAATTTCTCTCAATAACTCTCCTTCTCACCCCTCTCTTACGCACGCACACACACACACACACACACACACACACGCACGCACGCACGCACACACATAGAACTTTAGATTTAAAAACAATGGCCAATGGCCAAAACCTTGGGGTCAACAAATCACAAACAACATCCCAGGGTGAGATATCATTCTTCTTGAGAAAGACAGGACTCTTCAAGTTTTCTTGTAGTTTGTCCAGCCGGATCAAGACAGGGAGAGAGGTAGGCATATCAGGCTGAAGCTTAATAAAAAATAAATAAATAAACAGCGCATCCAGTGCATCTCTCAGAAATCCAAACATGGCAAATCTTCTAGAAGCAGCTCCAAGCGTCTTTCTTTTTCCTTTATTTTGACTTTCTCTCTTTGCCTCTCCTCATTTTGCCTTTTATATTCTGACTCTTGCTTATTACTTTGGTATCCTAATATTTCCTACTATCATAAGCATTTCATCCACACTTTGATAGGGAGTGTGGTGTGGGTGGAGTAAGAAATTTGTCAGTGCCCGATCTGCTCTCCCACAGAGTAGGACAGGAAAAAAAAGCCTCTTTTACAGAAACTCTTTCAGTGATTCTCCATCCTCCAGGCTAAAATCAAAACAAAAAACTACCAAGCACTCTCTTCCCTCTTCTGAAGAAGAGGACGTTTGACCCTGATTCTTGAACTCACCTTTTGGAGGGTTACCTGGGCAGTGGAGCATGTTGTTTCAGAGAATGAGATCTGGAACCAAACTGCTTGGCTTCTTCCTGAAAGTGTGACCTTGGCAAGTTACTTAGCCTTTCTGTGCCTCATGTTCTTTCTCCATAACATAGACATAGTGTTTATTTAGTATATACTTCATAGAGGTATTGTGAGGATTAGATAAATTCATATATCTAAAGCACTTAGAACCTGGACCATAGTGAGTATTCAATAAATATGAGCTTTTATTATTGTTGCTATTATTTAAAACTAGGTGATCCTTGTCTCTACTGTATGAATTGCACAATTTAGCTCCATGTGGTTTAATATGTGGCAAAAATTTATAAACATTTCTTTTTGAAAGAAGAAAACATTAATATATTATACATAATCACATTTTTCCTCAATATTTTTATTCTTAAAAAAAACTACATACTTCTGCTTTTGTTTCTCTTAAACCAACAGCACACCAGACAGCACAAGGCCAGCCATGAGACCATGGAGCACAGAGAAACAGCCAGGATTATGGTCGACCTCTCTGACCTAGTCACAGGTAAGATGGCAAATGGCCTGGATCGAGCTGTAAAATTGGCCCCTGTTTAAAAAAATAATAATAATGTCTCAAGAATAATGTATTAATAAGATGCTAATATAATATTGTGGGAAAATATGCTTAAATATTACATGGTACTTAGCAGTTTCAATAAATATTTATTGAATTAAATGATTAAATAAATAAACCAATAATAAATTCAAGATTTATATTTCTAGAGAACTACAAGAATCCAATTCTAATAATAACATACAATTGTACTTTCCAATTGTGTATAATACTGATGGGGAATTCTTCCAATTTTCCCCTTTTATTCTCAGATTTGCTTTCTCCAGCAATGCAAAATTTCAGTTTCACTCTTATCTTCCATTAATTAGAACAGAAATGCTCTCAGCTTCAGACTGTGCAAAACTATTTGCTCTGACAAATGTATCCTATTTAAAATGTATCCTATTTAAATATCCTATTTAAAATAATATAATATCAAAACTTGGGCTCAGGGATTCCTACTACAGAACCAAGACAATTTTTAAAGTCCACTCAAATTTCGTTATCTGGAAAACTGGGAGTAGAGCAGTGGTAGATAGATAGAGCCACTTTGGCTATGGAAGATGGGTGAAAATGAGTAACTTTCTTTACAGAGTGCATCTTTCTAAGAATTCATCCCAAACCTCTCTGCTTTTAACAGACTGATTATTTTGGTTCTAACCCATTATTCTTTCTAAACGATGCATAAAAGAATCTAAAAAAAAATACCTTGCCTATACACAGAAAAATCTGTACGCAAATTTTTATAGCACTTCTACTCATAATTACCCAAACCCAGAAACAACCCGAATGTTCTTCAACAGGGGAATGAATAAATCAACTGTGGCTTATCCAGATGCAATGAAATCCTACTCAGTCAAGAAGATAAAAATTTTAAAAAAAGAAGGAGAAAGGAGAAGGAAGAAAACCAAAACAAGACAGCCAGAAAGGGAGGAAGAAACAGAGAGAAACAAACCATTAATAATGTGAAACAACTGGAATGAACATCAAGGCATTATTATGCTGAGCAAGAGAAGCCCATCTCTGAAGGGTACATACTATACTTTATGATTCCATTTATATGACATTCTAGAAAAGTCAAAACTATACAGATGGAGACCAGATCAGTGGTTGCCAGAGATTAGTGGTAGTGGGAGGGGCGGATATGAGGAGAGAGGAAAGTATAAGGAAGATATTTGAGGGAAATGTCCTATATCTTGATTGTGGTGGTGATTACATGAATTTCTACATGTAATGACATACCAAAAAGATAAACTTTACTGTATATTATTTTTTAAAAAAGAAAAATTTTAATAATCTTATACTTTGGAAGGTGATAAATATGTTCATTATCTTAATTGTAGAGATGGTTTTATGGGAATATGTATTCATCAAAACTTATCGAATGGTATGCTTTAAGTATGTGTAGTTTATCATGTCAATTATACTTCGATACAAAAATTTTAAAAGAAAAGCTTGCCTATGAACATGAGTCATAGCCAATGTTTTTAAAGGAGCTTATTCAAACAAATAAACCTACTCTAAACCTCTGCTTTCATCTGAATCACTCGGGCAAAAACAAAATTTTTATTTTCTCTACTCAAAGAAACACTGTTTTTCTTCACTGTACTTTTCTTGGGTTGAACCTGACAATTTGATTGAAAGTCACAGTTAGATTTTTAGTCTTTCAACTCCTGACTGACTCAGTCCCAAAGCTCTCATAACAAAATTAGCTAGAAATGGCTCTCCTGTTTGTGCATCTTAACTTGAGACAAACTTGGCTTGTTGCTTATCAATTAGTTGCTTTTTATGGCCATCTGAGTAAAATAAATGTAGCCCAGGTATGGGGAAATGGATTTTACTAGAGATTTGCAGAAGTTAAAACAAAATTTCTTATTCTTTTATCCATTCTCTGATTGCTCGGTGATTATTTACCTTACTAAGTGGATGTTATTGTTCTCATTCTTAAGATATTTAAGAGCTAGTAAATGAGATGAGATACACATACACATGTTTGTAACACAAATCAGAATGTGACACATGCCAGCAGAGTAATGCAAATTGATTGCTGTGGAAAGATGTTTGTGATAAGCTGTAATCAAAAAAAGCATACCAGAAGAGAAAGTATCTAAGTTGGGTTTTGAAGCCTGAGCAAATAAAGGCAGAAAGGAGAAAAGATCAATTGATGTTTAGGAAATTAATACTGGAAAATACTGGTAATTAACGCTGGAAAGCATTTGAGACAAATTTTAATGGGCATTAAATATCATTTGGAAGGCCCTTGATTATATTCTGAAGCCAATGGAGTGTTGTAGAAAGAAAAATTCTGGGGGCCTGAAGTCAGGGAGACCGGTTTATAAGCCTAGAGAAGTAAGCTGAGTCTAAGGGTGGAGATCATCAGCTTTCAAATGTTTTTAGCAGCAAAACATTTTTTTAAATGCAATATTAGACATAATCTCAATATACTTACTTATTTATAAATAAGTAAATATTTGCTGTACCTATGATGTGTCATGTTTTCCTATACTCTGAGAACGTAATACAGAGCTCACCAGAATTCCTGTGTCTTTTGGAACTTAGGTTCTAATGGGGCACAGAGCACACAGACAGTAGACATACAGGCAAATTCAGAAACATTCTGATGCCAAGTAGTGGTAAGTGCCATGAAAAGGGCTAAAGTGAGGTTGGAAGATAGAGAATGACTGGAAGTGAGAGCAGGGTTGGGGATGGTATTGTAGGTTAAGTGATGCAGAAAGGCCTCTCTGAGGAGGTGACATTCAGGAAGAAACCTGAGTGAAATGGTGAGTGAGCCAGGTAAATTTCTAGAGGAAATGTATTTCAGGCATGGACATGGCGACTGCAAGGTAATTTCTCTAGATTAGATGGCAGGCAGCATTCTCAGCTCCCTCAGCCTTTTCCTGGCCCAGAAGCTCCTGAGAACCCCCTAAGAACTCCCTGGCTCCAAGAAATGATTACAAAAACCACAGCCTAGACTAGACCCAGGTAAATGATAGCATATGTGGAAAGGCTAGGTGGAAAGTCAACCTTTCTTGACAGTGTCTTAGGAAGTTCAGAAATGAATAATTGAGCTGGATTAGTCAACATATTAGAAAGACTTATGAGAATTCCATACACACTCGGTCAGAACCAATTAAACTATCAGTTCCTCAATATATTTCTAAAACAAGAATAATGATTTGCTCCTCTTTCTATTCGTTCCTTTCTCTAGGAAAGAAGAGGAAACATATTAAAAATTATTGCAAGTTTTCCACTTGATTCATAGATGAATGAAACAATAACAACATAAATCAATGCTTGTCACATCTATGACTTTGGAGCTTGTTAGAAATAAGAAATTTCATTGATTGGTCTATCAATGTGAGAATGAGGGCTGTTTTCTCAAATGTTTCTAGCACTAGAAATTGATATAATTGGAAATAAAGAGTTACTTTCTGTATATTTATGGCTAATCAACATGATGTCAAATTAAAACCACAATGAGAAATCACCTCCCACCTGTCAGAATAGCTAACATCAATAAAACAATAAATAACAAATGTTGGTGAGGATGTGGAGAAAAGAGAACTCTCATACATTGCTGATGGGATTGTAAATTAATGCAGCCACTACAGAAAACAATATAGAAATTCCTCAAAAAATTAAAATAGAGTTTTCATACAATCCAGCGATTCCACTTCTGGGTATTTATGAAGAAAACAAAAACACTAATTAGAAAAGATATAGACACCATTATTTACAAAAGCTGAGAAATAGAAGCATCCTGGATGTCCATCAATAAATGAGTAAAGTATATATACATACATATATATATACACACACATATATACATATACACATATGTACATAAAGGACATATATATGTATATATATAATGGAATATTTTCAACAATAAAAAATAATGAAATATTGCCATTTGTGACAAGCTGGATGGACCTAGAGGGTATTATTCTAAGTGAAATAAGTCAGACAGAAAAATAAAAATACCATACGACTTCACTTATAGGTGAAATCTAAAAAAACAAACAAATGAACAAATAAATAAGGCAAACCAGAAACATATCCATAGATATAAAGAACAAGCTGATGGTTGCTAGAGAGGAATGGAGTCGGGGATGGGAATAAAATTTAAACAAAACAAAACATGATGTCAATAAGGGGTCACAGAAGTACAGGCTTTTTAATGCTTTCTTTTTACCCTCCATATATTCTCTTTTAATTTAAACTTTTGTAATTTTATTCTGACAGAGCATCACCTCACAGACTTGGTTTTGAAAATTATGAAGAATGATTTGTGGAAAATGATAAAAAAATTTTTTTACGAGATAATTCCCAGTCTACTTTATAAATTATAGGTGGAACCTAAAATAAAGTAGTGCTCTAGTCAACGTGAACACCAAGTTCAGCTCAAAATCACAAGTGTTAATGAGAAGTTTTGTCTATACCATATTTTACTTCTGGTTTTATAAATTGTTCCTTAAAATAACCTTGATAAAGTATTTAGTCTTAGTTAACCATTGAGGAAATTAAAGGACAAAAGTCTCTAAGACAAAATGTCCAACTCTACATGTGTTACACTTCAAAATATATCCTTGGGAATCCCATGGCCAAAGATGCGGAACATGGCTATCTATGAACCTATACTTAAAATAGGATACCTTCATAGGTATTTAAAGAATATCTGCCTTATATAATTAATAATAATATTACCTGACCTCAGATGATATTCCCTTTATAAAGAAAGATGGTCCAAAACTTGGAATTAAGAGAAAAAAAATAATTACAGTTCTTATCAATGTCACATTGGGGCATTTTAAATAGGCCCATCCAAGGTTTATCAAATTCTCTGTAGCATACTTTTTTGACTTCATATTTAATATTAATTAAAGCTCAGGCTTGTTAATTGGTACAATATTGGTAAACTGCAAACGGTTTTTGTTCGGTAAAGATGCAAAGGATATCTGGGGACCTGTAACCTCAAAGGTTACAGTTTTATTGTCCTGTATCCAATTTAGCAAACTTATGTCAGCAGTTCCTTCCAGGCTATAGGATCTGTATCCCTCAAATGTTCCTTTACCGCTTTGCTATTCTCCTGATTTCCTCATTAATGAGTTCAAGAACCTGTTGACAAGTGCTCTTTATGTATTTTCATGAGAGCTACATTTTTAACTTTTTGAAAAGTGTACTATGACAGTTTGAATTTAAGTTTCATGAGGGAAGACTAATATCTAGCCTTAATTAAACATTTGTTTTTGAACTTCAGATACCTCACATCAAAACATTTGATTTTCTTTGCCATTTCCAGTGTTCTAACAGGTTTACATTCAGTAATGATTGTTCTGATGTATTTCGTAAAACTTTGCATTATCACACCTGAACATGAACTACTTTCTACAGCTGAATGTCTTATCAGATTAATTTACTTCACCAAAATTAATAATTAATTATAAATTTCTACTTTTCAGTTCAAATGTGATGTTAGTATTTTTAAAATTCTTTTAGATGGAGGTTTTTTTTTTCTTGGTAAATCACAATAATGAATGCTATATTTAAATCACTTTTTTCCAAGGTGTTAACTGTGTTTCTATCAGAGTTCAGTCTCTTAAAAAGAGCATATCAAAATTTGTACTCTTGAGGTCTAGAAAAATAATAAAGGACAACAATAAATAACAAATTAGACATAAAAAATTGCACTCCCACCACTCCTCTGTATGAAAGAGTAGTATTTTACATAGGTTCATCTGGCTTTGAGGTTTAACGCACAAACTTATTGAATAGTATGATCCTCTAATAAAGCAAAAATTGTGAAGAATATTTCAGAAGTGAGATTTTTTAATGTTTTGTCAAGAACTGGATTGTATAAAAATTTACACTCACTTTATACCTATCCGTACTTCTAAAATACCAAGATTTTGAATGGTATACTCACCATTTATGGGATGGGGGGGCAAGTGAATGAGAAGAGTAAGAGTGAAAGAGAAAAATTTATAATATTCAATGTCCCATAACTCTCCTTTATAAATTAAAAATTTCTAATTAATACCCAACCAAATGCTATCAAATATCATATAATTTTTAAAAAATGTAGAATAAAGTAAATTTTAACAACTACAGGAAAATGTACATTTGGATTCTTGCATTTGAATCCTGAAAAATGTACCAGGATTCTCCTGAGGCTTAATTTCTACATGTGTTCTTGCTTCTCACACCTTATTGTTATAATTAAGTGATTTTTTTCTCTAAACTATGATGACTCCTTATTTATAATAGGAGCTATTCCTATTATAAAGAAGAGCCTATTTAAAAAAAAATAATAAAAGAAACAGATAATAAACACACACTGTATTGAAATTACCTGGAGGGGAAGTGACAGTAAAAATAAAGTGCCAATTCGACCCAGAAATCAAAACTGCCAAGTTGGAGAAGCTTACATAACCATCTTGCGTTTCTGCCAGAGTACACCCTACAAACAAACACAAAAACAAAAAGTAAATGTTAGTTACATACTCAAGAGCAATTTCTTCAGGTCTTCCCTGTAGAGAAGCAATTGGATAATAAAGGAAAAACATTTTTTAATTAAAGAGGTTACTAAATCCATCAGGGTTTTCTTAAACAAGTCTTGGAACCAAATAATCTAAGATAGAATAATAATAACAGCTAACATATATGGAAAGCTTAACCTCACAGTGCTTTATATGCATCATTATAAATAAACTCACAAAAACCCTATAAAATATGTTATTATCTATATTATTTAGAGATCAGGAATTAGGCTCATAAAAGATTAAATCACTCAGTGCTGGAGTTATAGCCCTAATCTGCCTAATTTCAAAGTTAGCATTCTTAACCATTACTATAAATTGATTTTTTTATTACTGAATGTCTCTCAAGAAAGAAAGACTATTATCTTTCCAGGTGGTCAGTTTTTATTCAAAGGATCTATAGTTTATGTGATAGCAGAGTCGGCCAATGGATCAAGACTTCAGCAATGCATGAAATCATGACTGATAAAGGCTACCGTGAATTAGTAACTTGAATTGCCTGGGCTATGGTTTCCCTGAATAAAATGCAAAAAAAAAAAAGAAGAAGGTTTACATCTTCTAAAAATAGGCCATCCATTTATAAAGTGAAAGAAGACAACTCAGTATCACATTCACAATTCTATTAATTAGTCTTCTGACTCCACTATCCTCAAATTACTTTGCTAATTAACAGCTGCTATGTTTCACTCTAGAAATGTCACTGTGATTGGTATGATGGACAATGAGTTAGGAGAGTGTTCTTAACATTTATAAACTAGTTGGAGATCTTTAAGGCTGAAAGGTATCATAAAGATATAACATGCTTAGTGTTACATTTTTCAATTCAATTGCTCAATCTTTTTTGTGAAAACATTGTCTTTCCTCATCAATTTTGCAGAGCTAACTAAAACTTCGTTCTTCGGAAACATCTTTTTCTTCATTTCAGCAGAGTTCCAAAATAAATAAAATGCCCAGAAAAAATGGAAATAAATAAGTCAAGACTGAAATAAATGATAGGCGCCCATGATAAATGCAGTTTATACTCTTTAAAACCTATATGCATCAAAATTATGGTCAATAAACTCTTGCAAACAATGAACTGCAGAGTACAGATGTTCAACATGAAATCGTTTGCTGCAGTTTTTCCTTTGACAAACGTCCTTATTGTTCTCATCTTTGGAGGAATACAAAACAGCATTTAATCGAAATGTGTCCATGGAGCACAGTGAGTCTGCCTCGTAGAACAGCCGCCAAACTGCCTAATGGAAAGTGCTTTAGCTTCAAATGGGTTTGCTTTTGTGTTAAATACCAGCTTGCCTCAGAGATCTCTACAAAGATTCCCATATATATCTATGATATTCTCAGATTTGAAGCATATGCACCCGAAAGCTGAGGCAGTTGCTGCCAAGTACAGTATATTACTCCAGGGTTCATCATATCTCTGGAATGGTAATTGTAAAATGTACAAATGCCATTGACAGGCTCCCCGATCAAGCTGGTATAAACAATGTACTGGCTGAGAGAACTTGGGATGAGATGGGAGTGTTGGGCTTGTGCAAGACTGAAATTGATTATATGACTTATCAAGGAATGCTACCTGAATATGTTTCTGCTGGGCATATGGTTGTTAAAATAACTTTCAGCGCAAATTCTCTGCCATAGCTATGCCACTCACCTCTAGCTATATATACTAGAAAACTGTTACATCCATAATTTGGAGATTTTATTTAAAAAAAAAAATTAAGAACTTTTTTTTTCTACAACTAAGATCTATGATTAAGTATCAAAGGATTTGAAGGGTCCTTAAATAATTGTGTTTGTGTGTACAAATCCACTTTTTCATTAACATTTTAAAACCTCTTTTTTTTTTCTTTTTTTTTTTACTGAGGAAGATCTACTGAGACAAAAGAACATGAAGTTAAATTGCAGAATAAAAGATTTAGACTAGACACATAGCTATGGTTTTGTTGTTGTTATTTTGTTTTTCTGCAGGAAATACTTAGAATAAGTTATGTAATCCATCACAAATGTTTTTGGTTTTATTCTTTCTGAAGTCAAGAAGTATTTCATGATGGTTTTAAAAGAAACTTCCAATCATATGAAATAGGATGTTTTGGTGATATGAGCATTCTTAAAATAGAAAACTACATAAGAATTTTTTCCCTACTTCATAACACACTCGAAAAAATATATGCATAGAAGATAACCTCAGCCTGTTCTTCATACTTTCCCACTGAAGCTCTCAAGAAGGAAAATGATGACAATACTGATCCAGGTGAGTCAGCTCGCTTAGCTTGAATTGGTGTTAATAGAATAATATAGCAAACAGTTTCATTCTTCACAGTATGATTCTAAGTGAGTCAGTGATAATATCCTTAGGATAACTGAAAGAGAAATAATGAAGGATTTGGGGGGAGTGCTAAGTATCAGGAGTAGGGCAAAGTAAAGTGTGGAGTCTGAGTGAGTCATGGTATAGGAGTAAGGTATGGAGTATGAATTAGACACGGAACATGAGTAGGTACTGTGTATGGGTAATGTATGAAGTACAATGAGATATGGAATATGACTATAGAGCGAAGCTTTGGAGGATGAATAAGGTATGAAGTATAAGTAAGGTAAAAAAATGGGTAACTGAACTGTACATGTGAAAATGGTTAAAAAAGTTTCACGTTCTGTGTATATTACCACAATATTTAAAAAAATAAGAATTTGGGTAAAGTATGAAGTATAAATAAGGTACTGGATATGAGTAAGTTCCAAAACATATAAAGAACTCTTCCTGTACCTTAATGGCAAAAAAATAAAAATAATAATAAAAAAACCCAATTAAAAAATAGGCTAAAGATTTAAATAGACATTTCTCCAAAGAAGATCTATGAATGGACAACAGGTGTATGAAAAGATGCTCAACCTCACTAATCATTAGGAAAATGTAAGTCAAAACCACAATGAGATATTATCTCACACCTATTAGGATGGCTATTATCAAAAAACCAAAAGACAAGTGTTGGTGAGAATGTGGAGAAATTGGAACTCTTATATTCTGTTGGTGGGAATGCAAAATGGTGCAGCTGCTATGGAGGTTCACCACAAAATTAAAAATAGAAATAACATATGGTCCAGCAAGCCCACTTCTGGTTATTTATCCAAAAGAATTGAAATCAGGATCTCAAAGAGATAGCCGTATCTCATGTTCACTGCAATGCTAGTCACACTGGCCAAGATATGGAAATGATCTACATGTTTTTTGGCAGATAAATGGATAAAGAAAATGTGATATACACATACAATGGAATATTATTCAGCCTTTTATAAAAGGAAATTCTGAAAAATGTGACATCTTGGATAAGCCTTGAGGACATTATGCCAAGGAAATAAATCACAGAAGGACAAAGATTGTATAATTCTATTTATATCAAATATCTAAAATAATCAAACTCATAGAAACAAAGAACAGAATAATGTTTTGTTTTGTTTTGTTTTTTTATTTTCATGTGCACAAGCACCAGAGAAACTAAATAAAGCCAGCAGTGGTACTGGGACTGCACAGGAAGGTAACAGAGGACAAAGAAAGGTGAAGAAGGAAAACTCAGTTTGAGTTTGGGCCAGGTGCTTTATACTTGCCATCACATTTGCTCTGGGCCAGGTTCTTTACACTTGCCATCACATTTGTTCTTCCTATCATTGAGGGCAAGTGTTTCTCCATAGAAACCACACTGTACCTGTGACTTTCTCCCTGGGCCAGTTCATGATGTTGTACTAAAGAATCATTTGTCTTAGGGAAACATGTTGTTCTCTTCACTCCATATTGAGGATATGGATATGACAAAAATGCTTCTTCATCATGCAAGGGAAAGGAGAGGAAGAGGTGGTTCTTTAAGTATTTACTGCCAGCCTAAACTTTCTTTTCACAGACACTGGCATTGTAGAATGGAGATGAAGGATTATTCTTCCAAATTACTGAAGACACTGAGTATTACTGTCCTTGTGCCTATGAATTTCTAATAGTTGCAAACATTTTCTGTGCAGATGCAGAAGTAACAGGTCTCTGAATGTCACTGATACTTACCTTTTAGCACTGAATCTGATGTCCCTTCCAAGGAAACAGAAATGGCCCATGGCTCTGAGGGGGGCCCCAAGGACTCAATTCTCCGATTCTGAAAATAGAAAAAAAAAATTAAAAAGGAAAAGTTGGATTCAGAAGAGAATGTTGTGAAGTTATCCAAAAAGAGAGAGAGAGAAAGAATTCAGGAAGATATTTTATAAAGCACAAATTTAACAGAAATAAGCAAAGGAAGGAAAATGATAAATAGATATTTTCTTTCTCGTGTTAAGAATATATCAAAATTAGCTTACTCAGAGAAGAGGAGGGGCATAATTGAAGAAAAGTTGGGGTAGAACTGTGAATAGAAGAAAAGAAAGCTACATTTTTAGAAGAAGAGAATAGTATTATGTGCCGAAAGTTACTAAGGAAGGAAAAAGATTAAGAGAAGCAGGAGAGAATTGGGTGAGTGCCAGACTACCTCAAAACTGACAGGTTTCCAAGTGTGTGTACCTTGGTCCCATGGCCTTCACCTCTCTGCAAACATGTCATGGAACACATTTTTAAAATGAAGAGTGGAAAGCTGATTTAACTATCCTAGTTCACTGTTTTTCCCCATGACTTTAGTAAATATAGAAAAGATAAAATAGAATCAGAGGCCATGAACACTGACATTAGAATTAAGCACTGAAACCTCCTATTGATGATTTACTTAACCACATATAAGAGAAACTATTTAAAATAATGTAAAATTATAATGCAGATGTGATGGCACACATTCCTCCATTGGCATAGGAAATTACTTTTTAGATATAGATATACTGTTTTGAGAAGGCTAGATTTCTGAGATGTGAGAGACCGACTTCAAAAATTTGCTTGGGGAGGAAAAGTATAAGCATTATATTTTTACCCTTAATCAAATTATGGACATTCACACAAAGTGGAAGGCAGGCAGGCTGTGAAATGGAAGGGAGATGACAAAAGCAGTTAGAAGTTCTAAGTGTAGCAATAGTCACACAGTGGGCACTCTGTAACTGTGTATCATGATGAAGGAATCTAAAACATGTGCTGAGTACAGGCTACCCAGCTCCAAAGAAAGAGTACACCTGTCCCTCGATTTACATGGTATTTTTTTACGTGTTATTTTATATGCAGTAAATAATCTCCCTCTTTTACATGGACTTTTCATATGTGGTTTCCATTTACGTGGTCTCATTTTATGCAGTTCTTTCTTTTTTATTTCCATTATCGGCGATTACTCTTTCTAAAAATCAATAGCTTAACTCAGCAATGCACAAAGAACTAATACTTACTAACACACAATTAATGATCTTCCTGTTCATTGGATGGCAAATAAAAAAGCACGGATGGCTAGTGATGCTTTTCGGAACTGGTTTTACAAATGTTTTGCTGTAGGAGTTGAAAATTATGTCAAGAAAAAATGTCTTCCTTTTAAAATACTTTTACTTTTTGATAATGCACCTGGTCATCCACACAATTTAGACCATCCAAATATAAAAGTTGTATATTTGCAACCAAATACAACTTCCTTGATCCAACCTTTAGATCAAGGCATTATTTCCATCTTTAAGATTAATTATATTAAATGGAGTTTTAAAGATATTTTTAATAAACTTGAAGGTAATGAATCACAGTTACAGAAGTCTGGAATAAACACACAATTTTAAGTTGTATCAAGAATATTTCTTTGAATGATATAAAGCCATCAACTTTAAATGCTTACTGGAAAGCAATACAGCCAGAAGTGGTTGTACCAGGGAATATGGTTCCAATGACTGAAGAAGGCTTAACTGGAATTATTAATTTATTAAATAAATTTCAAGAAGTAAGTTCCAACAATTTGAATGTAGATTATATTAACGAATTACTGGTTGATCAGGAATTAATGAATAATGAATTAATTCACTTAATATCTGAAGCCCATCCCACCAATGAATATGGCAGAGACCTTGTACCAGTTTCATTCACTGCTGAAAATATTTACAAAGCTCTTCAACTGGCCACCAAACTGGAAACTGCAATTCTAGATATTCATCCAAAGATCTAATGAGCCTTAAAATTTTGAAAAGATTTTTTAAAATGTTGCAGTGAATATTGAAGAATTTATGGAAACTTAGCAAAAGATGGGATTGGAAAAAGATCATCCCAAAACATAAACATAAATAATGAAACCAAAGCAGCACTTCCAAATATTTTGAGCGATGAAGATATTTTGAGCAGCTTTGTGCCAATTAAAAATTGAAGGTTGGTTGCTTTACAGTCCAGACACAGGCAACGAATATTTATTTCAGTTTTTCTAAATTTTCATTAGCATTTTTTTTGTGAAAATATGTGAAATAAATATTTTTATGACTTATATTGGCCTATTTCTTTAGTATTTTTTTCCAAACTTTTTACATGGTTTTCTTCTGTGTAAAAAAAAAAGAAAAAAAGGCTCATGGAATGGATAATCCATGTAAATCGAGAGATGGGTGTATAACCTGTGAAAAAGTTACCTGCTTATCTAGAAAGATGAGTTGTGGTTGTACTGGAAGTACTTTTCCCACTTCTCCATTTGAAGGCTGGACTAAGACTGAAAGAGCATAGGGCCGAATATATATCAAGTTCTCAATTTTAAAATTGCTTGTATTTCTGGCACATGTAAGAAAAAAAATAGAATACATCCATAAAATTACAAATATCAATGCAGAAGCTATATTCCATAATACATTATCAGAGAAAATATTTGCATTTGTCTTTGCTTCTAGAAACTTAGTAATACACTTTATAGTGAACATTATCTTATAACTACAGAATAATTATGCATTTATTTTATATGTTTGATTAGCCATAATAAAGGATGTCCTGGATGTTGGGAGGATGAGTGGAGAAGCACAAATTATAAACTTAGATTTTTATCACAGTTTATTAATATCAGCCCTATAAAAGCCTCAGTGAGAGAACTTATCAGACTAAAATACTTAGAAGGTAGGGGTATGTTCAGTAGTAAGCTAGTAAGCTTTTCCCCAAAAGACCCTAATTTGTAGTGTTTTCTAATTTCCATGGTATTAATACTCTCACTATGGCTGATTCTGGTACCAGACGATATTGCTGAGAAATGGCAAGCTCCAGCACACCGATGTTTGATATGAAACAATTCATTGAGTTCTTACAACCTTCCCTTTGTATTTATACTCTCCACCATGTTTTTGCACAAAATAGGTTTAATGACTTGGAATTAATTGATTAATTTCTTTTAATTGAATGAAGCCTTTAGAGAGGATGATACTTATAATTAATATATGCTGAGTACTTACTGTGTACCAGATACTATTCTAAAAGCCCATCGCATCTTTAAAATGACACTATGAGGTAGGTACTTTTATTTATACATGAAGAACATTTGGTCCAAAAAGGCTAAAGTAACTTGCCAAAGGGCTTACAAAGAATAAGCGTATGACCAAGATTCAGAGCAGTTAACCGTTGAGCTACATTGTGTTTCACCTCTTTCGAGCATGTTAATTGCTGATGTGACTTAGCAATAAAATGGAATAACAAAAATAAGTTATATAATTCATGATACCATAAACCATCTTTTTTCCTCAGAGCTTTGGTATTTTTAATGATCAAGATAGTTTTATTAAAAGAACATTATAGATTATATATCTATTGCCCCATTAAGCCTATTATGTATTATACATCACAGGCATGCAATAGATTTTTAGCCATTAAATAGAGATATATAGATATCATTTACCACATGTATTACCTTAATATAGGACACCCCATGGTGACTTATCCTCAAAACAACCCAGATCAGGTCTAACAAGAAAGGATTTGATTTTTTTTTTTTTAAGTAGCCTATTCTGCCCTCAATTAAAATCTTGTAAGTCAACTACTTTGTTCCCCTTTTTTTTCTTTTGTGAGGAGAAAAAGATGAAATATTTATTTAACATGGAAGGTGTATGTCAGGTAAAGTTGGCAATTAGTCCTAAAAAGAGAAAATAGTGAAAGAACAAATAAAATGGATCATGAACTATGAAATTTCTGCAGGATGCGTATTCCTTCTCCCCTGAGAATCCTGGGACATGGGAGGCAGAGTGGGAATACATGATCCTAAGAATCCCCTTTGGTCATCTACCAGCTAAGGCCCTGACCTCTGCAACAATCATTCAGTGGGAATTCAACATACACTAACCTAATCATCACTTATTAGTTTGCTTAGTCTAAATGGGTAAGGCTCCTTTTTAATTGTTTTTAAGAGAATAATTTAAAACAGATTTTTAAGTTCTGTGTTATTCATTCTTCTTTTCTATGGGTTCAAGGTTTTTGGAAAATTCTAACAGTGTTAGCAGATTCTACTTCTCCCCAAAACTATTTTTTAAATGCTTTCTGATGTGGGACAGGATCCAGGCTAGCTGTGTGGGTTAAAGAAACTGAAAAACCCCAACAAAGATTCTGACATAAGTGCACTGACGTCGAGAGACGAAGGAATGGGAACCAACTGCCTGAACACCCGCTGAAAGGCCTATCCCTGACACACTTTAAAGTTTATTGTGAGCAAACATCTCTTATTAAATGTAAACAGCATCTCACTGGAGGTCAGAGACTTGCTGCTACAGCATATCCCAAGGTAATACCACTTTAAGCTCCACATAAACTCTTAAGCAGTTTCTATCCTAAAACCTGACCGTAGGTGGTACAGTTTTTTACGATATGTTATAATAGTGCAATAAATCTGTTAGCTTAAAATCGAATCTCCGTGGCCTTTTAGAGAAATCATCATTAAATGCAGGGTCCTGTTAATGATGCCATCGAAGTGAAATTGTTTAATCTGCTAAGGGGGTGAAAGGTCACCAAATGAATTTTTTATAATACATCAACTTGACACGCAATAGGGAAAACTGTAATAGATAAAAGCAAAGGAAAAGGGCACTGTCTTCTTCTGATAGGTCAATAGCAGCCAAGAGAGTCACTCATCCACTTTCCTTTCACGATGGGGCTCCTTTTGCATTTAATATGGACACCCAATTAATACCTCAGCACCACAGACAACCTCATTTTAGGTGACTTATAGCAATTTCTCCCCCTTCCCTGAAATGAAAGTGATCACAATACATCATAGCATTGTGTGAATTAACGTTAATTGATTCAAGTTACCAAGCAATGATGGGCCACTTATATAATCTAGGCGTTATTGGGTGCTAGAAGGGATGGAAGGAAGATTAGATTCCAGTGTCCGTTGCTGTGACGACGGGAGTCACCTGACACCTTGTTAGACAGTTGTAAGGTTCTATTGCTGGCCCCAGTGGGGTCGTCAGTAAACTGGAGTGATGTCCAAACATCATTATACCCTGCTCCGATATTAAAGCAAAGGGATTAGCAACTTATTGCAAGCAACCTGGATTTGTCATTGTGCTGTCGTTATCCAATTTCCAAGGCTAATGTGACTGTAGCCTGCAGGCAGAAAGACCTACAGCCAAACTTTAAAAAATGGGGGAGGAAAGTTCCCTCCAACACTCCCAGTTTTAACCACTATTTAACAGCTTCCAATACCTAGCCAGGAATGTGAAAGAATTTTTTACCCCTTCAACGCTTAAGTGCCAACTAAAAGATCGAAGAGAATACAGAAATTTCCCAGTTCAAAGATCACCACTTTTCATTCCAACTCTCTCTTTTCAATCTGCCAGATCCAAACTGCTTACCCTGTGGATAAAGGCATTATTTCTATTTGCATGCCAAACCCAGCAAACAAATAAATCCGATTGGTGAATGCTGGCTTTGGGTAAGACCTATGGTAGCGGGGTGAGAGGGTGGGAGGCTAGAGATACTTTCTCTTTAACCTTTGCCTCCTCAAAGTTACCAAGTCAAGTTCCTGTAAAAGAGTCCCATGCTTTACTTAAATATTTCAGGGTGTCCTGAGCATTTTTAACCATTCTTATTTCAAATAGGCTAGATAGGGAAGAATCTGCATTGCAGGGGGGGAAAAGTAGGGAGTGGGGGCGGGATATTGAATTCCAAAGGAGTTTGCAAGATTCTGTACCCTAGAAGAAGAAAGTGAGATCTCTAGTCAATTCAGTTTAACAAACATATGTTAACCCTTCTACATCGTTCTAGGCACTGTGAGATATGCAAGAATAAACACCATGACCTCTGTACTTCAGAAATGTTCTTCTATATAGTTTGTAAGGCATAAATGACTTCACTTCTATGTTCCAAGACCGCCAGTGGATGCCTGAAACCAAGATAATACCGAACTCCATAAATACTATGTTGCTTCTTATACAGACATACATTTTCACTTTATAAAAACATTTTACGGCTTCTCTTTGCCATATTCAAATTGGAACCATCAGTACTCTTGCATTTTGGAGCATTATTAGGTAAAGTATGGGTTACTTGCATATAAGCACTGCAATATTGAGACAGTCGATCTGATAACCTAGATGGCTACTAGATGACTAACGAATGAGTAATGTATACAGCATGGATACACTGGACAAAGTGATGATTCACGTCCTGGGAGAGATGAAGTGGGACAGTGAGAGATTTTATCATACTATGCAGAATGGCATGCAATTTAAAACTTATGAAATTGTTTATTTCTGGAATTTTCCATTAAATATTTTTAGACCATGGTCAACAGTGGGTAATTGAAATCTCAGAAACTGAATAAGAGGGGACTATTGTATTTCATAGTCCTACATTCTCTATCAAACCTAGCCAATTACCCTTAGCTGCTGTGAACTCCTAAGAGAGAAGTGTCTTATGATCTGTTTCTTTCTTGCACTACAGCATAGTGGTTCCAAACCTGATACATTGTTAAGTACCCAATATATGTTACTAGTGTAACACTATAACAAATCAGTACCCACTATGCACTTCTTCTGCCCCTAGGTCACTAAATACTTCTAGAAAGCTACAACCTATCTTGGCCTGCCAACTTTAGGTTCTAGTATACTCCTCAATAGCTTATTGTTCTGTTCTAATACTTATTATTAAGCCCTTAAGATTCTTTGGAATTATTGATTTCAAATTGAGAGTCGAGTAACCCTAGGTACAGGTTGGAGTGTGCCAGGAGCATATAAATACAGAGTAAACATGGCACATCTTCCAAAAAGGTCAGTTTAGAGTTAAAACCTAAGTATTTTAGTTGGTAAATCACTTAAAATATATTTTATAATAAATCTATCGTGAATCTGAAATAATAGCAACTCTGAATATATTTTTTAGATCATACACAAAATATTCAAAATTTCCTGTTTGTGTTGGAGTGCTATGGCAGTCAAAAAAGGAGAAATCACTCAAGATTTCTCTAATGAAAGAGATTTAAATCAGGATTGGTTACACAGGAATATTGGAATAGCAGAGAAACCAAGGAGGTTACATTTCAATATTTGCAAATAATATTTAATGATCATTTATTTTACATGGCACTGTGCTTAGGTACTCCTGGGAACATAATAGCAAGTTGAAGCCTTGACCACCTACTAAATATTATAAAGATAAAAATATATTCGTTAATTTTAAAAAATCTAAATTAATGGTTAAGCGGGTTCATATGGAATTAAAGATATTTTGTAATATATATAGAATAATGAGATTTAATACAACACTCTTATTAAATAGTTGCATGAATGTTTGTTTTGCCTATCCATTAATTTTAAAATCTGTAAATTTTCATATGAGCCATGTAATTTTTGGACATAATAGTTGTTCAATTAATGTTTGGGAAATATAAAACTTTGAAATGTAAGCTTTCATAAGTATTCTATTTACTTACAACTTTACCATCTGTACAAATATATATAAATTACTTAATTTTAAGGCAGTATGGTTCAATTTTGAAATTAGAACTACATATGTATGTAAGTGAGAAACTGCTGGATGCAGATATGTCAACAACAGCAATGGATTACAATTAGCATCGTGTTTATAAGGAAAATAGCAGAAAAAAATATGAACTGTGAAGAAGAATCAAAGATTTAGTGGTCTGGGGCCATTTATTTTAAGGGCATTGCTGCAGAAACAAAGCTGTGAAACAAATGATAGTTTTAATGATAGCCATGAATCATCAATAAAAATGTGAATGCTGTACATTATTTCCCATTTAATAAGGCTGAATAACATGGTTTTGTTTTAAGTTTAAGAGATAAAAGCTTTTAAAAAATAGTTATAAAAGGACCAATTTTTAATTAAATGGAAAGTTTGCCTATGCAGAGCATCTCATTTTCCCACAAAGCCACATATGTGAAATGCCATTATGACAATTTTGCCATCCACTTAACTCGACAAAATAGTGAATTTGTATTGTAGCGAAAAGAAGAAATGGTACAGAAATATTCTTTAACAACAAAGCTGTGGTTTTGCCATGAGAGAAAAAAGAGATAAGCTGGTAGTATAGAAATCTCTTCCAGGATGAGTATTCTGCCAGTCTTGGGAAGAATATCCTCCCTTGTTGACAGTGTCCTTGCTACTCCAAACAGCTATTTCCTAGAAAGTAGGTGCCTGAGGGTCATGGAGAGGTTACACGAGAGAAGATTCTAAGTGAGACTGAGTGACAGTGGACTCCTCTCACCAATTGTCTCTCACAATTTTCTTTTCTGTTCTAAGTCAGCTTGATAGGGTGCTCCTTACACAGAATGAGGAGCTCCTTATACTTAAAAGACTACTCATGTGACGGTACAAAAACACACAGATATACACTCCCACAGTGTCATGCTCACCCTCACTATAACCATGTCCAGGGCCCAAAGATCACGTTGATGTCATAGACACAGAGCTTTTTGTGAGATAGCATATTAGTTTTTATTGCTGCATAACAAATTACCACAAACTTAGTGGCTTAAAATAACACAAATTTATTGTCTTCAGGTTGTGGATCAAGAGTCCAGACAGGCTTCACTGAGTTTAGTGCTTAGTTGAAGGCTCTTGGGAAAAAGCCACCCTAAATCTATTCAGATCGTTGGTAGAGTTTAGTTCCTTCTAGCTGTAGAATTAAGGTCCAGTTTTCTTGCTGGCTGTCAGGTGATGTCCACTCCCTATTCATAGAGTCTACCTACTTTTTATCTCATGTGGTCCCTTCCATCTTAAAAGCAGTGACACTTCAAGTCCTTCTTACGCTTTGAATCTCTCTACTTTCCCTTTCTGCCTTTTTCTTTAGCCGCAGGGCTTATGTGTTCTTAATTAGGCCCACTTTGATAATTCTGGATATATTATCTTAACGTCAACTGTGCCATGTAACATTGAGTATGCCTAAAAGAGCTATCTAATCATATTCATAGGTTCCTGGGATTAGGACAACATATCTCTGGGAGGTCATTTTAGAAATTCTGCCAACCACAAATAGCTTTGGCATTTCAATAGCTGAACTTTCATAAAAATACAGATATATTTGATTTTACTATATGACAAAGAATATTATTATTATTTTAATGACACGGGAGAAAAGGAGGGAGAAGAAGAAAAAGGAGAGAAAGAAACTCAAGAGAGCAAAAATCAAGGATCTACTAAAAGAGGGGAAACAATATAAAATATGTACTGCTAGGATTTCAGACAAAAGACAGAATACACAAATAAGACCTCTATGGGGAACCCCCTGTTTAAAAGGGCATATTGAATATATGTTTGTCTCTGTTCCCTCTACTACATGTAATTACTTAAAAGAATAAAAGGGAATACAAATAGTGTAAATCAACAATGTAAAGGAGGCAAGAGAGGAAAAACAACTGACAACAAAGGTCAACAAAGTTTTGGAAAACAGGTTCATAGAAGTGACCTAGCCAAGGGAGAAAGCTTAAATCCACATGCCTCTAGAAGAGGATAGAGACCAGGAGAGGCCAATCCACTACATTATTTAATTAAAAATAGATAGCACTCTATTTCTGCCCGCAAAGCAGAAGTTGGTACCTTTTTGAAAGCAGGGAGTACTCCCCTCGAAAAATAAATGCCCAACATGGCCCTAGTTTGTTGAAATGCATACGATCCCATTAAATTAATGAGTGAACCTCTTAAGAACATCCTTGGTGCTTTTCACTGTAAGGCCTGTGTCCTAGACTAATTTCTGCTGTCTCAAGGTCAATTCATTAGCTTGTCAATGGCTCCTGAGTGAGTTCAGTGGAAGTCCCAACTGACACTGATCAAAATTGAAAGAACTGAACTGGCCTTAGGGCCTGCACGGGGCTTCAGGGTTGTTTAGCATACTGTGCATTCTTAGGACCATGAGAAACCTTGCTAATTCTCACTCAGTCCCTTAGGACATGGCATTTCTCATTCTGTGGAGATTTATTTAGATATACTTAAGAAGCAGCCTTTCCTTATCTTTAGAAGATTTGCTTTTTTGCCTTATGTCTAGAAAATTTATCTTAAAATACTAAAAGAATTGAGAGAAATGGGGGATATAACAGATTCTCAAAGAAAATTGATGTACCTGGTCACTCATACATATAATATACTTAAAAATACTCAGTGAGATCCAAACAAAATTGTGCTAAAGGAAAGAAAAGATATTTAAACATAAACTAAGATACATTAGCATAATTCTTTCAGATTCATGATTCATATATTATCATGCATAACATTATAACAATATCAATAGCATGGTGCAGATTCGATGGTTGGTAAAAATATCCAAAATCTAATAAATTCTGAGCAATCATGCAACTAGCAGTATGTTTTAATTCTAAGCTAACAATTCCCAAAACTCTTCAAATTGACCAAAATTCAGAAAAAAATTGCTTGAATTTTCTTTTCATATCTTCCATACATATTAATGTATTGTAGGAAAGAGAAACACCTATCTCCATTACAAAGACAGATAAAATATAATACAAAAATACTAGCTAAGCTTCCATATGGATATGTTGCTCTGTGTAGAAAAAGGCAATCAATGTAATAGTCGAATAGGCTTCAAAATGTGATGGTATCACTTTTTGCTTTGCTTTTTATTTTACAGTGAATTCCACATCCACTGAAGATGGTTGTACAGAAGTATCTAATACTCATTAAAAATGAATTGTTCATTTATTAACACTACTACATATAAGATGAAAAAGCAGTAACAACAGAATAATCTAAAAGAATATTAATGCTCTAAAATTTCAGTGAGTAATATAACTCAGAATCTAAATATTTTACCTATTTCAGGAACCCAATATCATCTCAAAATGTGCATGTGGTGGTGACAAGTTTATAGGAAATATCCATGGTTGCCCATCCTGAGCCCTCTGCAACCCAGCAGCATGTATCTGTGAGGTGGTTAGTTTTATAGATGTTTTCTAAGCATTATGACAAGTTCATATTGTCTCTCAGTCTGTGGTATCATTTTTGGTTCTTTTGTACCTACTAAAAATTGGACCTTGGGACGCTAATGATCTTGACTTCATGGCAGATGCCTTAGATGAACTTGGGCTGGTCAATTCATCCTTTGGCTAACATAGTCTATAAAATTGAAAGTAATTTATACTTGCCTTTCCTTACTGTATTCTGCACATACTTCATTTCCCTAAGCTCAGGGAAATATTCAAGTGAATTTACTTCTGAAATGTGTACTGAACAGAAGTCTAGTGGAGAACTTCAAAACACAAGTTTGTAGAGTCAGAATAACATAGCACAAAGGATATTACAGATCCTACACAGATCTGTGCTATAAACACAACAGTGATGCTCCTGTCTTACACAATTTGACAAAGGTATCCTTTCAGAGCTTTACGATACTGGGTTAAATAAAACCCAACCAGAGTCACTGTTTTAGTAACTAGTAAACTCCTGGTCATCCCTCCAAAATGTTCCTAAATATAAGTCCATTCCCCAGTTTCTATAAGCAGAGTTATTATCATCCCCTCGGTACTCAAGTTTTAGCTTATAGGTCTATGGAATTGTAATAGGTGATGTTACATTCATATTGATTTCGCCTCAGTAACTTTAGACTCTAACCCACTGCTTAAATTCATTACATAAATAAATGAATGAACAAATGAACTGAAAATAAGTTGCTTTAGAATAATCTCTTCTTACATGCTTTTCACATTAAGGCACCAAAATATAATGTTTTTTACAACCCAGAAAATAGAATAACCATAAAAAATATAGATTTCATAAAGAATTTTAAAATTGAGAATTTAAGTCTATAAATAATTCTTTAAGTTTTTATTCTTATCTTAAAAAGTAGAAAGGTAGGTGAATATACAGTGTAAATATATATATGCCTTATTGTTAAAGTGTACAGGTGAAACATTGGATTTTGTTAACCAATGTCACCATAAAAAATAAATAAATAATTAAAGAAAAAAAAAACAGTAAAAAGGTTATGTGATTCAGTGTGAGTAGACTGACATTTGCAATACATGCCTAAGAAATCAGTCCTAATTTGGATATTATTATAATTAGTACTTACCTATAGCCAATGACTCCCTTTGACTGAGTCACCAGTAAGGCCCCAATAGTCATATTCAGAACATTCTCTAGTACTCCAGTCTGTTGAGCAGTGATAATCTGGTGAGCCAAATTTTGTAATTTGTTACTTGATAAAGATGGAATCAGGCCAGTGCTCCTTACTGTTGGCAGATCACCAATTTCAAGGACCAGTACTTTTGAGACAGTTTCCATGCTGGTTGGTGCTGGAACTCTACATGAGCTCATTTCCATCATAAGAGGTCTTCGTTGACCAACTCTATAATGACTGGCACAAGGCACAGTTGGGCAATTGCGCTTTCTCTTTGCTCTATAGTCAGCAATAGCCTTTAAGGTTGCTTCATTGCCAGGCATGTCATGAATAAATTTGATTTTGTCTTGGCTAACCTGCAAGAAGTCAGTTAGTCTTTCAAGGGTCATGATTTCCCAACCCTTTTCTAGGACTGGAAACATCACAGTGAAGGCCAAATGAATAGAAGCACCTGAGCGTATTTCAATGGGCTTCTCTCCTTGTAGAACAACATACAAGATATTATCCATGATGCTGAAATAGTTGGAACCAATAGACTGATTCAGCAATGAGGAAATTGATTGAACCGGAGTTGGTGGAATAAAACTTTCCCCTAAAAAAACATGGGGGCTCTGGAGTTCATGGTAGAATACAGCCAAGAGAAGCTTGGAGGTACTTTTATTCCCCAGTAGAAAAAAACGCAGAACTTGAGGAGTCTGATTTACAAAGCAGACCTTGGTGATTTCTCTGGTGGGTAAAACGGAATAGAAAATAGATGCAGATCCTGAAGTAAAGCAGGGAGTATTGGCATTTACACTACTAAAGGTGTCAACAAAACCACCAGTCACAGACACAACAGGATATATCTTCCTCATTGCCCACGTGGCATCATCACTGTCAAGAATTAAGATCACGTGGTCTGTCTGTTTGCAGATGTAGCCTTGTATCAGGGATCGGTAAGTGCATTTCTGCTCTTCTCTAAATGTACCTATAAAGTAAATGAAAATAAACAAGTGACATGAACCATGATCTCTCAAAGATCATTTGCAATCCATCACTTCCATCATCGTCTGTAACCTCATTTAACATTTATCGAACATTTAGGTATGCTAGATACTGAGAATGCAAAGAAGTCTTGGGCAAAATATGAAACCCACATACATTAAAATTACAGCTATTTAGTGTAATTTAAAAGCACATGTTACATAATATGTTATTTAAAGTTAATAATGGTTGTAGCAGCTAAGTGTAAAAACAGTTGAATAAATAAAACAATTAAGATAAAAGAAATAATTACTAAATCCTCCATAATGAGAAAAAAAAATAGGAGAGAATGAGATAAATAGTCGAGTCAATGGGAAAAGAAGTAGAATAAGGGGGCTGGAACAAAGAATTTATGGAGGCATATTAAAATTGAAGAGGTATATTGTGACGAGATTTTGAAAGAGTTTGGATGTCAGACTATATAATTTTCTCATACTTTCTTTTTTTCTAAATGAAGAGTGAAAAAATACAAGAGGAAAAAAAGTAATAATTTGGGGAGTATCGACATTAAATAGAGCTCAAGTTGAGGATAATTGAGGTTAATGAAAACATGTGAAGACAGCATTAGCCATTATTCTCACCAATCCTAATCCTCCTGTCTTTGAACCTAGAGTAGTTCTTGTTCTGAATCCACAGGGACATTTTATCTTACAACAAAGAAAGAGTTCTTTTGATTTTAAATTGATATTTACAAAACTGTCTTATATTATTGTCTAGATATCTTAACTTTCCTTAGTGCAAGTTCATCGAAGCAACCTAAGAATTGGAACCCCCACCACCCAAAAAATCAAATTATTGCTAATGCAGGATGTACTACATTTGAGCATGACCTAGCCTCCTCCTATGTCCTTCCTCCATGTGATGTTATTAGAAATTTGTGCCAATGCCACCTAGTATTGCAATACATTTCATTACCAAAATGTTGCTTCAGGAGTAGAACACAAGGTTTACTTGTACCTCACAATAATAAAACAACAACAGTGGTAAAAAGTTCAAAGGAAATTGTAAAACATTTCAAACTGCATGATAAAATTTTAGCATATCAAAAGTTATGGGACATAGTGAAAACAGTGCTTTGAAGGAAATTTATAATGTTAAATGTTTATATTACAAAAAGAATTATCTAAAAACAATGCCTTATGGCACTACTTTACATATTTAGAAAAAGAGCAAAGCAAACTCAAAGTATGTAATACAAAAGAAATAATATAACAGCAGAAAAGAAAAGAAAAAAAATCCAGAGAAAGTGAACAAAGCTAAAATTTGATTCTTGAAAAATACCTACAAATTGAATAACCCTTCACTAGACTGCTCAAAATAAAAAGAAAGAGCAAAAATCTCCAGTTTCAGGAATGAAAGGATTATTACTATAGATCCAATGAACAAAGGTTAAGAGACTAATAATACAAACAAACTTTATGACAATAAATTTCACAACTTGGATGAAATAGACAAATTCCTTGAAAACTGCATGAGATAAAACAGAAAAATCGAATTTCCCTTAAAGAAATTGAATTCACCAAATCGAATATTAAATTATTAATTTAAAGAGATTTAATTATCAAATACAAAAGAATGGTCACTTTTACATAGTATATTTTCTCCCTGTGGTCCTACAATATGAAAATATTAATGTTAAATCAAGTATTGTCTTCAAAAGCATAGAACCAGTATGAAGGGAATGAATTGCATGATCTTAATAGCCATGGAAATTGTGCTTTGAGTCCCTGATGCATCAATCTCTACCACAGGTAGTATATCCTTTTCAAATGAGATAGTTCCCCTTTTCTAAACTCTGCAGCTCACTCTCCTTTCTACACATTTCTTTCCCAGCTGTGTTGATGCCATTGATTAATCTATGTTCCATCCAGTTTTATAGATGCCTGACTTCTTCTTCCTGTTTCTCATTTGGGAGATATAATATCTTTGAAAGTAACCTCTATAGATTGGTAAATTCTTGGAACTGTCCCTAAGTAAAATAATTTTTTTTCTCTTAGTTAATATGATTCTTGATCATTCTCTGCTACTAAGCAACTATATGTACTTTAATAAATTATATGAACTTAGTAGGTATCAGTGTCCTTAAGGGGTTATTTCTCAAGGCCAGGGACTATATTTCATATTTAAATTACTACGGGGCTTAACACACTACCTCAAACAGAGTAGATGCTCCTTAATATGTACTAGTTGATTAATATGTAATGTCCTTTTCAAAATTCCTATTCTTCAAATAGTTTTTATCTATTCTTGCCAGGTGTCTAGTTATAAGATTATTATCCTATGGCTTGAATACATTTTAAACTAACCCATCACAACAATAATAACAGAATGTACTACAAAAATTTATAATTATAATTGCCCCCTTAATTGACGTTAATATGCTAGCTCAATACTGTGAGAAATTCAGCTATTTTACATGAGACCATAAGATTAAAATTATGGTTAACTGCATTTTATAAATTTTCTTCTGTTCTTGAATCACATAATTAATTGTTCACAAAAAAAGATTCTGTTGTGACAAAACATTTTATTCTCGACTAATTTATTAATTCATTAAATAAATACTCATGTAGAAATATGAGTCTTCTTTCTACATTTTTATTCCTGATGGCAAGTGCCTTATAAGGCTAACATAAAAATGGACCATTTATAATGTAATTCAAATATTCTTTCAGAGTAATGGGTATAAGAGCTATCCTAGTAGAAGGCATACCTTCAAAATGGTCCAGTGATAGAGTTCTTGTAATTTATCTATTTATCTTCAAATATTTCTCCCAGAAGCTAGTCTACCACAAAGGCTGGACCCCTAAGTTGTCTCTATTCTCAGGATTCAAAACTCCTTATTCCTTCAGGCAGCAGTGACACGGGGTGGAAAAGAGTATGACTGACTACCTGGACTAGAGGCAGGATCTCTAGAAGAAGAAAGAAGGGTTCGAATCAGGAGGGATCAGAGAAGGTTTGAATGTGAGTTTGAGGAGGCACAATCTCTGCTCAATGTGTTGTAAAGCATATACACATCCTGGAAGGTCTATGACTCAGGTACAGTGTCCATGAGCAAGCTCAGAAATAAAGTGATACAGTATGAAAAGTCACTGTCCAATCTTTATAACCCATTGCAATTTGGTATGAGTTGAATTATAAACCCTAGAAGCTGAGGCAAAGAATTCAATAAACATTTATTGGGACTCCTTGTGTATGTTTAACCTGCTAACAGTAAGAAGATTTTGTTACTAAACATATCACTTCTCTCTTCAATGATTAGGAGGGAGCAGTCTTTCTGTTATCATTAAGAATTGTGACATGATTAGGGATTAAATGCCAGGCACACGCAGCTACTCAAATATGTGACAATTACTTGCTTGTTTAAACTTAGCCAGTTACCTTCCTGATTTCAGTGTAATGTCAATTACATGCATTGTTTTTGTTCTTAATCTATTCTTTTTTTATGTTTAGAAACTCTGTGTATGAACATCATGCTATGAAAGGAACACATACATGTATTCTGATTTTGAGACATTTGGTAGAAGACTTACCGCTATAACCTTCATGAAGTCAATAATTAGTATTTACTAATTTAAGTAGAGTTTTATGAGATATTGGTTATTTTAAAATATTCTCTCCATTCCTTCCTTCCCATACTCCCATAAAATGGAGGATATATCCATTCGATCCAATGTAAGTATAAGGAATATTTAAATTACTTCTTTGGTTCAGCTCTTCTTGACAACGTGTAAAATAAACAGGACACTTTCTCTCTAAAACTATATATACTTTACAATATTTGTTATTCTAGAAATAACACTGTGTGAGAAAAATAACATATTAATTATGTTTCAGTGCTATCTAGGGTTTCTCTAGCTCCATGTGTCTCAGAAGTTAGAGCTAAAGTTTCTTTGACTGTAGTATGAGAATAATGATTAGGATGGGGCTGTTCCAACCTCTTTGTAAATGACATAAAGTTGCATATAAATAGCATTTACCCACTGGGGAAAAATATGAGTTATATCGTGGATACATTATTATAGTTAACTAGAAAATCCTTTGTTTTTAAAGGAAGTTAAAACAGACAAAAAATAATCATTCCACTAAATAATTATATAGTTGTCTCTGGCAGTTTCTAACAGGAATTTCTACCTTAGAGTTTTGACAAGGATCTTATTTATGCAATGAACATGCCCTATGTAGGCTGAAAAGTAGAATCTTTCAAAATAATGAATAGTTAATAAAATTAATTGAAGTAAATCAGTCTGGCACTCAAGATGAGGTTGCGAAAAGCAGCTAATGCACAACTATGGTAATTCAGAGCTTCATAAAATGTACCACAAAAAAAAGTCAAATGGTTGTATTTAGACAAGCTAAAGTTTTGCAGATAAGGCAGAAGCCATAGAAAGGAAGACACTGACATTGTAGGAAGTAGATGAATGACAGAGTAAACTCTTTGAGTGGTTATGAGAAAACAGGGTCCAGAGCCCTTTAAAAGCAAGTTAAATTTGATAGATCAAGAGACCATCTCTCACTGAGCAGGAAAGACAGAAAGTGTTTATGCAGGTGAAAGTGACTGAGAGATGGAAGGCAGTCTTAGCTGCTGGGACATGTGAGAGAAAACAAGGTCATCAATTGAAAGTCAATTATGAGGGTATGTGTTAGGGGTCAGAATGAAGGGAGAGAGGATGGGTGGAATGTTTGTAGGTTGGGAAAATGGTGTGAAACATTGTGCAAGAGGGGTGAATACAGTCATTCTTGATTTTAGTGCTTATGCAATGCTTGGGAACCTTTCTATAAAATATATACAAAGTTATGAATTCAAAATTAGAAATAAGAGTAAGTGAAAATTAAAATGAGAAAAAAATCACAACTCAATTATAAATTTAAACCTATAAACACCATAAACATGATAAAATCTAGGGAAAAGTAATATTAATTACCCAACACACCTCAGTATTA